ATTGTTTATCACTGTGTGGACGTTCCCTCTGCACTATCCTGCTCCTGACTGGGCTCTGCACTGCTCTTTTCTTTACTGTCACTGTCGTTTTCTTTGCTGGCTTTACGTTTTGCAAGCTCTTCATTGATCACATTTATGATGTCCTAGAAATATTCATATAAATGCTACCTCTACGATAGCAACACCTTCTTCCTTACCTTGAAATTCTTCCGTTTTGCCTCGCTCATTGGTGTAGTGCCAAAATCGTCAACAACAAAAGGATCAAGACCTTGTTGCATTAGATACCTGACTGCATCTATTTGATGATGATTGACTGCCTTAAAAGGTACAAATTAAGCTCTCACTGCTAAAATAAATTTTTTTACACATACCACATGCAAAGCCGTCCTTCCGTCATAATCTGCCTCAATAAGCTCACTTCCCGCGGCCTCCCAACACCTCAGTTGCTCGACATCTCCATGAGCGGCTGCAAGACAAAGATCCACTCCTAAAAAAGATGTTTTCCGCAAATGCACATGGCCTTTGACCCATATAAAGTCGTTTACCAAGTTTGAATTGTGGAATATCGATTACTCCACCAGCTTTACGAAGTTCCTCTACACATTTACGTGCTTTAGCCTTAACTGCACACAGAAGAGGATTGTACAGGAAGAGATCCCTAGAAACTTTCACATCTAAATAGGCTTTAATTAGAAACATGTTCGATCAACTTACTTGGCGTGGATATTTACACCAATGCTAAGCAAATAACGGACAGCTTCAAGGTTTCCATTAGACGCAGCCACATGGAGCGCAGTACGCAGATTATAGTCAGGACTGGAAAAATTCACGCCAGCTTCCTGAAAAGGACTGTTTTCGTGAAATATCAAATGCAGATGAGTAAATTTGCCGCTTAATATAGTGCGCTTGCATTGTAGGTAAGTGCGGTAAGATTTACGCGTGAACAAATAGCTACGTTTGTGGCGCCTGCCAACTGCGCGTGCAAAGTGCCGGCATTACTGACGAATCTATTTGTTCACGCCCAAATTTTACGCATGTCACCTACAGTGCAAGCACACTACATTAAGCGGAAAATCTACTTTATTGTACAGTGTGCATAGGAAAATCATTTATCACCAAAATGGGCCACACTTTTGCGTTTGCTTCGCCGTTCTCTTCCCTCCTCAAATAAACTGGCTTGATCAAGGGCAAAGGTAAGGTATTGGGAGTTTTTATAATCTACACGATTATGCGCTCCTTCCTTAGCGATGAGTTCCGAGGAGGGTTGATCATTCTTTGCAGATGTGGAAACGAAACGCTTTCTTGTTTTTGTTTCTTTTTCGTTTCAGTATTTGTTGGTTTTGT